CCCCCCCCCCCCCGTGTCTCCTTGTTCTGACTTTGGGCAGAGAATGTTCTTCCCCTTCAGCACTAGCAGGCCCAGTGAAAATGTTCTTATTTCCATCACCTTTTGATACAGAAAATTATTCTATGGAGTAAATGAAATTGCCGTGAAAGTGCCTTCCATTTTAAAACTGTTAATTAAGGAGGTAAGACCCTTTTCTTTGGCGTCTGAGATTATAATTGTGATCGGGACGACCGTCTGTCTCTACCATGGGCTTTGATGGGCGGGAGAAGGAGGGTCGAGGCGGTTGGGTGGCCGTGACGGCACGAAAGGAGGTGGACACTTGGGGAGCAGAAGATGCCAGCCTTTCTCTCGGAAGAATGTGGGGCATTGGGGAGGGTCGCTCTGTGTCTCGCAACCGGGTCTGATGCAAGAAGGGCGAGGCTGCGGTGGGCTCTTTAGCGGGAGGGTCTCAATTCGGAGAGACTCAGCTGTACTTCTTTCCGAAGGCCCTTGGCCCACTTGGTGTGGCTTCCGAGTCTCCTCTTTGTTGAACGGATTTTGGCCCATAGAGTGGTAGAAGGCTGGTGCTGGGAGGGGGAGGGGAGGGGTCATCAAAGCCAGCCCCCTGCTATGGCAGGAAGCCTCTGCGGGAAGCATCGCCAACTGGGGGGTCACCTAACTTGAGTTTAAAACACCTCCCAAGATGGAGAGCCCACTGTCTTCTGAGGCTCTCCTTTGTCCTTTTGAGCAGCTCTCACTCTCGGGAAGCTCCTCCTCACGTTGAGCCAAAATGGTTTGGGAACATGTTTTATGGAACACCCTCTGCAGATCAAAGCATGTATGCACGTCTTCTGCTCTCCTCCTGAAAGTAGTGATGCGGGGGGGGGGAGCACATGTGCTGATTGCCAGCCATCAGCCTCTGTGAGAAAGCCAAGCCAAGGCCAACCCTGGGAGCACACAGGACAGGGTGTGGGAAAGGAACTTCCACTTTACTGGGAAAGGAACTGCCATTCTGGTTGGGTGTGTGTGCACTGAGCGGGAGACTCCCCAGGGGAGACACGAGATTTGGGCAACAGAGGCACGGACACCTGTTTTTCCTGCCACTGTGCAGTTCTTGCAGCTAAGGGACAGGAGGGGGGCTTCCTGCTCCCCCTCCCAGGCAGTGGCAGTTCCTCACCCTTGCTGTGCCTCCTAGTTTCCCTTCCACTTTTCTGCCAGCAGAGAAGGATGGCTCTGATGTTCTGAAATGCCTCTGCTAAGTGTTCTTAATGTCCCACCTGCTGGGGAGTGGCTTGAGGCAAAAAAAAAAAAAACATTACCAGGTGCTGTGCAGAGTGTAACCTGACGTTTCTAGACACCACATTTTAAGAAGGATGCCAACACACTTCACAGCAAGGATGATGATCAGGGGACTGGAAGCCAAGCCCTAGGAGGAAGGACTGAAAGAAATAGGCATGTTTAGCCTTGAGAGAAGAAGACTAAGGAGAGATAGGAGAGCACTCTTCAAATCCTTGAAAGGTCGTCATCCAGAGGAGGGGCAGGATCTGTTCTCGATCATCCCAGACTGCAGGACACGCAACAATGGGCTCAAGTTACAGGAAGCCAGATTTAGGCTAAATATCAGGAAAAACTTCCTAACTGTTAGAGCAGTATGACAATAGAACCAACGACCTCGGGAGGTGATGAGCACTCCAATACTGGAGGCATTTAAGAGGAATTTCGGCAACCATCCGTCAGCTCTGCTTTGATTTGTATTCCTTACGGGCCCCTTCTAACTGTGTTGTTGTTCTATGATGATGATAATCATTCACTTGGTTTTTTTCCCCTCCCGCTCTTGGCCCATCCAGGTCCTCAACCCGTTCTACATTTTCCAGCTGTTTAGTGTGATCTTGTGGAGCACTGACGAGTATTATTACTACGCAGCAGCCATTGTGATCATGTCGCTCATATCGGTTGTGAGCTCTCTGTACACCATCCGGAAGGTGGGTGCAGTGGTGGTGGGGGTGGTGGGGGCTTACTTTCTGCCCCCCGTGACATGCTGGGAGCTTCTGTGGGAGAAGATGGGGAGCTGGCCTGTAGGTTTTCTCTTCTGTTGCTGTTGAAGTTTTGGGCTCAGTGCCTGTGGAGCATAGCTCGGCTTTGGGGGGGTGGTGGGGGTGATGGAGGATGCTGAGGCCTCTCCCTTCATTGGAAGTTCTCTTGCTGCCAGCTGCTGCCAACCCCTTTGGGGGAAAGGGGACCACCTCCGAAAGGGTGCAGGTGGTGCGTGGCCACGTCTGGCCAGAGAAGTGGCTCCCTGGGATGCTTTGCACCCAAGGATGAGCTCCCAAATGAAATGTCTGCCTGCTTCTTCAGGAGGGGTGGCACTGTCGCTGCCCTGCCCCAGCTACGAATACCCTCCCTTGCTGTTCCTGGCTTGGCAGCTGGCCACCAGGGCTTCTCCCTTCTGGCCAATTTGCCCTAGGCATTGGGTTCGGGCCACTCTGCTGGGAAGAGCCGTTCTTGGTGGTGCCCTCCGGATGGTGATTCTCTCCCCCCACCCCGGTCTCCCTCCCACAGCAATATATGGTGCTCCACGACATGGTGGCGGCTCACAGCGTCGTCCGGGTGTCGGTCAGCAGAGCGAACCAAGGTAGGGAAGGCAGTCTGTAGGGGCTCCTGGCCTCACTTCCTGGTACTTGGGCTGTTTTTTTTTGGGGGGGTGGGTGTCCTTTGTCGGGTCAGAGGCAAAACTACAGAAGTGTGGCTTGTTAGCTTGTGCCTCCTCAGAGGTCTTCCTTGAGACTTCTCAGTGCGGGACGGGGCCTTGTGTTAGCAGCTCCCGGGGGGGGGGGGGTCTGCTTCCTCAGGAGCAAAGGGACAAGTGCTTAGCCCTTGGTCTAAGGTGGGAAGGGAGGCGGAAGGCACGCCTTGTGTCTCTGGACCCAGCCTCTCTCTCTCAGGGGGAGGCTTGAGCATTTCGGACAGTGCAGCCTCCCTCCTGGAGAGCAGGTGGCCTTCAAGGAGGACCGGAATAGCCAGCCTCGGCTCCTGCTCTGTGTCACCCTAGCCAGAGCTGTGCGGGGTGGTTTCAGAGTGGGAGAA